GTGCCCTCATCCTGATCCTTTACATACTATTATATGTGGATGTCCTTGTGGATGTTTTTGTTATGTTGATTATGACAAAGGCTCAACTTCAGGAGTGCAGACAATCGTAGGGTTTTGCAAACTTTCCTCTTCATTTCCACCATGCTTTGGAACGTACTCTGATATAATGGGTGTAAAAGCAGTATGTTGAGAAAAAATGATATAATCATTACAAATAGTAATAGCTCTACCTTTGGCCAAAAGAAAATTTAACCCAAGGATTAAATTTATGCCATAAAGCTTATCAAGAGGTTCAACCCAGCAGATGTCTAAAGGATATACATCAGACCAATCTTGACAATTTGTTTGAAATTGAATTTGAAGATTTTTGAAATAATGATTGGTTGAGTNAAAGTAGGCTTCAACTATTATTTGGACCCTATCTTTGAGACCCATAAATTTTCTGATAACACAGAAAAAATGGATGTTACTTAAAGTTTAGATTTCACTGATGAACTCTTTTCTGAAAATAAACCTTTGATTCATCCCACATCTTCACAAACAAAAGGAAAAAATATTTTGGAAGAATCAGAAGAGTTTGATGATAAGCAACTAATTGTTCCTAATCTTGGTTGCTTTTCATTTTTACAAAACTTAGTTGATCTTTCTGACATCAACTTTAAAACCTTTTTAAAATACCAAGAATGGCTGATGGTTTTATCCAGATCACCTGTTCAAGGTTTCTCAGTTCAATTGGAAGAAATTCCAACCCCAKATGATGAAAAACAAATATTTTTTAGAACAGTTCAGATTGATTTGTCTTCTGCATCTGAACAAATGTTTCGAAATGAAAAAATAAGTTTTCATGATCTTTTYAAGTATGGATTACTTTGCGGACTAATCCTATCTGATATTGATCAAATTAATTGGCTTCCAGTTCGTGTCATTGAAGCTATTAAAATGGTCAAGACTTATGATGATTATCTCATCCTGGTGGACATTTATTCCTCACCTCCAAAATTCTGGAAACCTGAGCCTGAACCTAGTTGTTCAGTCATCAAGATACTATCAAAGAATTTCTCTTCAGATTGGGAAGACAAACTGTTACTTCATTGTCCTAATTGGCAATACATTTCTGGTCAATCCATTGAAGAAGTAAAGATATGGTATTACCATGTTTATTACTCAGACTTCTTTTGGAACTCTGAAGAATATTCACTCTTTGGAGAGACTCCTACAGTCAAGATTTATATTCCATCTGCAATTGTTGCCTACACTTTTCTCAAGTTCTATAATGATGATGAAGAAGCAAAAGACAAATGGAGAATATTTTTCAAAGAAAAAGCTCTCAAAAGACTGGCAGACAAATTTCTGTAAAGCATAAAGATAAAATACACCTGTTATCTTAAACAWCTGTATATGGCAATGGTGGCAGACAAAGACAAAGACAAAAGCATCTTGCTTTTCTAAGTTTGAAAATTGTGGCATACTTTTCAGTAGTGCTCCCAACTTTTCACTGTTTATATGTTGAATTTGTTTCCGGTAATAGCCTCCGGTAGTAGGTTGTTTTTGCTTTTCCTTTCCTATAAATAAGTTTCTCTTGTAAGTGTTTCAAACACACCTTCACAGCTTCAGATCACCTACATAGAGAAAGAAAAATATTAGAGAGTATCAAATATTAGTYRTTTGAAGTTTGTAAGCATCTATTCCTGTAATCAACCRATTGTACAAATACAAGGTTAGTTTTTATGGCAGGCTAAAACCCTTATTAGGAAGCTATTTCATGTTGTAAAATATTTATAAGTATTATCATTTTAATCTTTATTTATGAAGATAAGATCTTAAAATGTRTATTATAAAKATATTTGGTTAATATTAGTTCATACTCATGCCAGGAGTATATCTGTCAGGCTTCARGCCAAACCTCTGGGATTTGTCCTAGTTGTAATTTTAAGAAATTATTTTAATAGAAGTTTAAGAAAGTTRAAATCTTCTTTAAAAACAAAAGACGTAAAGATGTTTAAATTCAGAAAAAGTACCCGTTGTTAGCAATGAATGCGTTTTAGGGGAAAAAGTATGAACTAATCTGAAAAGGTGAGTTTTTAAAATGATTTTTACTATTATTTCTTAAACTTTTTATTAAGAAATGTTCTTAAGAAGTGATAATATTTTTACCAAATGGGTATTATGATATAAATAAAATAAGATCTTATCCCTATAAATTTTGATTGAAAAGATAATATGTATAAATAATTATCAACCTCTGATAATAGCTTTCTAATTCTTTCTTCTTGTTTATCTCTAGATAATTTTATTCATGTTTAATTTCTTCTATAAGTGTAGTAATCGTCCTCATCCTGATCCTTTGCATTCTGCTATATGTGGGTGTATATGTGGATGTTATTGTCATGTAGATTATGAAATATATAAATCTAAAAAAGAACCTAACGTATTTATTAGCTTCTGATTTATTAACTCWAGRTTTAAAACAATATATTGCCGRAAAGGTTTTCAAAGACATCAATAAGTTTATGGGCAATTTTTATTTTAATCTAAAAATTGACAATCAAACTAAATTTGCTGCTCATGACATCTCTCACGGTGATAATTGGAATTTTGCTTTTAATGAAGAAAATATTTACCAGTCCTTAGTAGCGATTGATATATTTAATGAATGCTTGTTTCATCTTTAGATGTTTAACCTCGCTGAGGCCCAGACCTAGTGTCTAGAGAACTGTGTTTTCTTTATACACTAAAAAACT